AGGTACTCAATGCTCAATCGACCTAGAGGGGAGGCCCAGAACCGGGTCAGATATAATTGTCATTGGTGTTGACGGTGGCAGGAAGTCTAACCCGGGAGACCGGAGTAGTCGAGCAGCGTTTTAACCGAGACACCACCGCACACCCAGAGTCTCTATAGACACCACCTGATGTTGCTAAGGGCTCACAATGGATTATGTTCCATTCACTCCGCGTCCGCGTCCTCTTATTGACATTTTATATATTAGCGTCGTATTTAACATTCTATTCACTTCCCCGAAATTACAGAGTTGTGGCTTGAACACCAAATTCGGTCTCCATGGAGCATTGTAACAAAGTCCTAACTCAGGTCAGACTTGCATTACGCCTGTTACCCACCGTCCCACCCCATGAAATCACACGTGTACATGGACGAAGCCGGTTATGCACAGTTAAGAGGGCAATGTTGCAGCTGCATAAAATCTCAATTGAGTCATTTGCAACTAAGTTTTCAGCGTAGGGATGTTTGAGCCAATACCTGCCACGTTTATTTTAAGCTATGGCAGGAAAGCCATAAAAGCAGTTGCGTGATGTTATCTTCGTCGCCTGATATGCAAGAGGATAGGGTTCGATCGTGACCCTGACGCCTGGTATTGACCAGGCCGACCCAACCTCTATCACTACCCCTATCACTGCCTCTATTACTACCCATTATCACTACCCCCTATCACTACCACTATCACTACCCCTATCATTACTCCAATCACTACTCCTATTACTATCACTACCTCTATCACCACCCCTATCACTACCCCTATCACTACGCCTATCACTACCACTACCCCTATCACTACCCCTACCACTATCACTACCTCTATCACCACCCCTATCACTACCCTTATCACTACTCCTATCACTACCCCTATCATTACCCCTACCACTACCCCTATCACTACCCCTACCACTATCACTACCTCTTACACTATCACTACCATTACCCCTACTACTACCCCTATCACTACCCCTACCACTATCACTACCTCTATCACCACCCCTATCACAACCCCTATCACTACCTCTACCCCTATCACTACCCCTCTCACTACCCTTACCACTATCACTACCCCTATCACTACCACTACCCCAAGCACTACCCCTATCACTACCACTACCCCTATCACTATGCCTACCACTACCTCTATCACTACCCCTATCACTACCCCTACCACTACCCCTATCACTACCCCTACCACTATCACTACCTCTATCACCACCCCTATCACTACCCCTATCACTACCCCTATCATTTCCCCTATCACTACCCCTATCACTACCCCTACCACTACCTCTATCACCACCCCTATCATTATCCCTATCACTACCCATACCCCTATCACTACCCATATCACTACCCCCATCACTACCCCTGTCACTACCACTACCCCTATCACTACCCCTATAACTACCCCTACCACTACCCCTATCACTACCCCTATGATTTCTCATATCACTACCCCTACCACTACCCCTATCACTACCCCTACCACTACCCCTATCACTACCCCTATGATTTCTCATATCACTACCCCTACCACTACCCCTATCACTACCCCTACCACTACCCCTATCACTACCACTACCCCTATCACTACCACTACCCCTATCACTACGCCTACCACTACCTCTATCACTACCACTATCACTACCCCCACCACTACCCCTATCACTACCCCTATAACTACCCCTACCACTACCCCTATCACTACCCCTATCACTACCTCTATCACCACCCCTATCACTACCCTTATCACTACCCCCATCACTACCCCTATCACTACCACTACCCCTACCACTACCCCTATCACTACCCCTATCACTACCCCTATCACTACCCCCATCACTACCCCATTCACTACCCCCAGCACTGCCCCTATCACTACCCCTATCACCACCCCAACTCTTATCACAACCCCTGATACCCCCCCTATCCCTATCACTACCCCTATCATTACCCCTATCACTACCCTATCACCACCCCAACTGCTATCACTACCCCTACACTTTATCACTACCCCAAAGCCCATCACTACCCCAGCCCCCATCACTACCCAACCCCTTCCACCTGCCCTCCTAACTGTCACCATAACTACACCACCACCACCACTTTTAATAACACCACTTTTTATCTCAACCACTATCATCTCGCGTACACATTAAAACATGTTATAACGATAAGATGATGATAATGACGGCGATCATGATGATGATGCCATGTCCGGAGCTGGAGACTTTGAGCAGACATCAATCTCGGTGACGTCGTCGTTGTTGACGTCAAGGGATTCAAGCTCACGGTTACCGTCAACGGTTCCCTTTCGCGTCGCTGAATGCGGTAGGCGTACACGTGAAAGAAACCGATCGCTCAATGCCCGCGTGCATCGCGTGTCGTGTGAACGCGCAGACCTGCCCGTTTCAATAACCCCACGTGACGTCCCCAAATTTTGCGTCACTTGCCCGCGGCTGACAGCAACGGTGGGCGACACGTGAAACGCTGTGATCCATTCTGGTGGATCTTTGTGTGTTTTCGCAATGCACCGGAAAGCTATGGCCACACAATAATAGCCTGAATGTAACCCTGTCATGTCCTATCGCCACGGTGGCTAGGAGATGTTAACTACCTCGCCCGGTATACAGGAGGTCGTGGATTCCATCCCGACCCTAACGATGCCTGCTGTATATTTGGAATTTGCGTCTCTCTCTCCACGGTGATATGTTAACGACCTCCCTCGGTATTCAAGCAGGACCGGATTAAGGTATGGGCCTGAGGGCTTGCAGCCCAGGTGCCTCCGCCAACTGGAGGACCTCCAGAGATGAAGTGAAAAGTTATTTAATATGTGAATGCTGAATTTTATTTGTTGTTAGCCTTGTAAAAAATAAATGTTATATTTCTTTAATTTTGTTTTCCTTTTGAAAACATTACCGGGGGCCTCACAGTACTTATAGCCCACTGGCCTACAAAATCTTAATCCGGCCCTGGATAAGGAGGTCGTGGGTTCCATCCCGACCCTGACAATGCCTGCTGTACATTTGCAGTTTGCGTGTCTCTCTCTCCGTGGTCTAGAAAATAACTACCTCGCCTGGTATTCAGGAGGTCGTGGGTTCCATCCCGACCCTGGCAATGCCTGCTGTACATTTGGAGTTTGCGTGTCTCTCTCTCTCCCCGTGGTCGCGTGGATTTTTCTCCGGGTCGTCCGGTTTCCCCCCATCCACATTTTATAATAAATGTCACTCGTTCAGAATATTTGGCTCGTGCTATAAATTTACACACCATGACGATATCGGCCAATTCGTCGCGCTATCGTTTGTGATAGCCAGGTCGCTTCTGCATGAAGAGTTACATCGCTAAGTAGGCCTTGCCTGGTGAAATCAAATAAAAAATAGTTTCTAGTGAGTGAAACAAATTAATTAATGTTTATCTTCTCCGTGTCGTGACTAAAACGCGTTTTTTCTCTTAAGTCGTGCCCACATTGTTGGTGTGTGCATAACACACAAATCTTCATGAAATAGAAACTTGACATTATTTTTTTACGAGTCTTAAAACCTAGTAACGAGTTGAATCAAAGCATATAACAATATATATCTTTAAATAAACTCAACAACACGTAAATACGTACAGAGTGTAACGAATTATTGGGGGGGGGGGGTGTTCTATTGGCAATGGTGCGCGCATCGCAAAGAACAAGAGCCACTCAGTTCAACCCGTAGGCTTTCGCGACTAATGTGATCCATGATAAAAGCCACTCGGTACGTGAAGTAGAGCCATTGACCGAAACGTCGTCTATAATACATGAACATGGCAATTGCCTGCAACACCGTGTATCGTTATGCAAAATATATATTAGTCGACGTTTAGGGTGATTACACTTCTCTAGCAGTACATGACGTGCTATTGACGAATGTGTTCAGTTTGGTATTGAGTTCCAGTAACCCTGAGAATGTCAACAACATGAGCAGTGGCCCGAGGAACAAACCGAGCACACCCAGACACATTGCGTAATGCGAGGATCTTGATTTCGTGTGTGTCATGAAATAGCGCTCACCCACTCGGTAACCCCCCCCCCTCCCCTCGTCCTTCCACTCAACCTCTCATCCCCCATTAACCTAACTAGTGGCATGGCATGGCTGGAGCGCGTTCGCCGCCTGTTCCAGAGGTTCGTGGTTCGAATCTAGCGGCTGCCCTGGTTATTATGGCTCGGACATGCTAAATTCCTCGATCTCCACCCCAATGTTGGAACCGACCTTGATACCTGATCATGTTTATTCGGAGTTTGCGGTGTCTCTCTCTGTCTCTTCCCGTGGTCACGTGAGATTTTTCTCGGGGTCCTCCAGTTTTCCCCTCCAAGCTTAGAATCAACGTCACGCGTTTTAGGATGTTCGGCTACTGCTGCAAGTGTCCACGTGATGATGAGCCACTTGGTTGAACTATCATTTATGGCCTGGTCGCTTCTGAAGAAAATAGTTATATAGAGCTCACTGGACCTTTAGCTGGTAAAATAAAATGAAAAGTTTATAGTTTATTACCGCTGTGTGCATTAACCCAAAAATATTCGACTTTGGGCCGTCTGCATCGCTTCGAGTGGACGCCAAAGCTTTCCGTGACGCCACACGCACCCAGCGTGTATGTGTTGCTGGCGGCATGGTCCACAATTCCCTCACGCGATGTACAACTGAGAAATGTCACCGCGCCGCAAACTGCCGGAACTGGAATCCACACGGGAGCAGCCAAAGCGTCACTTCTAAAAAATACTGCCAACCCCAAAAAACGCTTGGGAGGAACCTCCCCTAAAAACCTGTTACGAGACTCGGCGACGCTCTCGTGCAAATATCCCCCCTCCCCCTACGGCTCACGCAGTCCTAACCAACCCCCTCCCTTCATCCACCACCGCAACACCACCTGCATGCCCCCCCCACACCCCCCGTCATGTGAATCGTGGACGGGATGTGGGGTGGGGGGAAACCTGAGGTTCTTAAGCAGGGGAGCCTCTCACCTCGCATCAACCACCACGAGCCTCGCCCCACATACCAGGTGTCGTCTCGCGCGCTGAGAGTCTCACGTACCAGGGGTCGTCTCACGTACCAGCTGTCTCACGCGCCACGTTAGGTGTCTCGCACTCCAAGTGTCAGGTACTTCACGCACCAGATGTCACACGTACCAGGTGTCTCACGTACCAGGTCTCACACACGCGCCAGACGTCCTCTCTGACATCGGTGCAGGCACTGCCCAGGTATGCCGACGCGCGGGGGTTGATGCGCTATGCCCGCGATGTCCTTCGGAAGCGAAGTGTCTCGATAGCGGTCAAGTCGGGGACCACCGTGCCCATCGACGCGCGTTATAGGCTGCGGGGCTAACGCCACTGGGCCGACGAGAGCGGCACATTGTTGTACTGCACCGTCTGTTGCTCCGCACCTTCACAGCGACCCCCCCCCCCCCTCCTTCCTTGCACGAACCGCGTGGTGCAATGATGGTGGGGGTGGATTGGACTACACTCGAACTTCTGAAAGATGTTTTCAAGATGCAAGTTACATGGAGTCTTCAAGGCGACGCAGCAAGCGGGGTGCCTATGTATGCGTAGTGGCTCGTGGAATCTGTCGCCAGGGGTAGGTGCGAAATTTCTCGCTGTCCTCCCCCGTGCGCCGTGTCCAGTTTGATAGCGGTGGGGGTTTCTCTGGTTTAGATGTTTCTATCCCCGTGACTGCACTCTCAGTTGTCACCCCCCCCCCCCAGTGGGAGATGCATCGTCCAATCTCAGGTCATCCTCGCACCAGCAGTGGCTTTTGGCTGACCATTGAACAAAGACGGCGATCAGCTCATTATCGGTGTCTCTCTCTCTCTCTCCCCGTGGTCACGTGAGATTTTTCTCGGGGTTCTCCGGTTTTCCCCTCCAAGCTTAGAGTCAACGTCACGCGTTTAGAGTATTCGGCTACTGCTGCAAGTGTCCACGTGATAATGAGCCACTTGGTTGAATTGTCATTTGTGGCTTGGTCGCTTCTGAAAAAAGAGCTATATAGAGCTCACTGGACCTTTACCTGGTAAAATAAAATGAAAAGTTTATAGTTTATTACCGCTGTGTGCATTGACCTAAAAATATTCGACTTTGGGCCGTCTGCATCGCTTCGAGTGGACGCCAAAGCTTTCCGTGACGCCACACGCACCCAGCGTGTATGTGTTGCTGGCGGCATGGTCCACAATTCTCTCACGCGAAGTACAACTGAGAAATGTCACCGCGCCGCAAACTGCCGGAACTGGAATCCACACGGGAGCAGCCAAAGCGTCAATTCTAAAAAATACTGCCAACCCCAAAATGATCGAACCCACAACCTCCTGTATCCCAGGCGAGGGAGTTAACATCTCATAACCACCGTGATAATGATGAGAGATAGAGACACGCGACAACTCCAAACATACAGCAGGCGTCAGGGTCGAGATCGAACCCACAACCTCCTGTATCCCAGGCGAGGTAGTTAATATCTCCTCGCCACCGTGATAATGATGAGAGAGAGAGAGACACGCAAACTCCAAACATACAACAGACGTCAGGGTCGAGATCGAACCCACGACCTTCTGTATACCAGGCGAGGTAGTTAACATCTCCTAGTCACCATGATAATGATGAGAGAGAGAGAGACACGCAAACTCCAAACATACAACAGACGTCAGGGTCGAGATCGAACCCGCAACTTTCTGTATACCAGGCGAGGTAGTTAACATCTCCAAGCCACCGTGATAATGATGAGAGAGAGAGAGACACGCAAACTCCAAACATACAGCAGGCGTCAGGGTCGAGATCGAACCCACGACCTTCTGTATCCCAGGCGAGGCAGTTAACATCTCGCCACCGTGGCGCCCATGATCGAGGCTATCCCGTTCCCTCCTGCAAGAAGCCAAACACGCGTTCATGGAGTTGGCCAAACTTCTCAAATGTAGTTCTTTGTACAGACCGATGTACTGTATGTTGAACTTATTTCGCACCGTACGTAGCCAACAGCACCAATCCGAGATGTTGTTATGAGATGAGGGCCTCCTTCACGCCTTGTAAGCCACGGGGATCGTTTGGCTATACTTCACCACTCTGGTCAGTACAGTGTTGATGAGAGTCTTTTCTATATAATATCTCGCCACAGTGTTGAAATGTTAATTCCCTCGCCTGGTATACAGGAGGTCGTGGGTTCGATCCCGACCCTCACGCCTGCTGCTGCTGTATATTTGGAGTCTGCGGTGTCTCTCTCTCTCCCCGTGGCCGCGTGGATTTTTCTCCGGGTCCTCGGGTTTTTGACTCCACATTTAGAATGAACATCACGCGATTAGATTATTTGGCTGCTGCTCTAAATTTCCACACGATGAGAAGCCACTTCGTCGAGCTATCATTGATGGTAGGGAGGTCGCTTCTGAAAAAAAATAATCTAACAGCTCAGTGGGCTTTACCTGGTAGAATAAACGTAGTTTTTAAAATTAGTTTACCTTTCCTATGTTTTACACTTCTTTCGTGTTTTTGTATTGTGTTCGTTTTTGTAACTTTGTGACCCGCCCCTACTGGACATCTGTGAAAAAGAGATGTCTAGCTCATCGGATTCCTCCAGTGAAGGTCGATAAAAGAGCAACCCCCGAATGTTATCTTTATACTCACACTCTGTGTTTTTTTCGGTAAAGTCACGTAGGTAAATAAATAAAATAAATAAAATGACATAGAATGAAAACAGCTAAAATAAAATTAAATCAAATCACGACGTTTCGGGCGCAACACAAGCATCCTTCTTCAGGTGGGGACAACGACGCGTAAGCACAACAGCAAAAACACAGACACACTTAAGCTGCTGTGCTTACTCTTCGTTGCCCCCACCTAAAAAAGGACGCTTGTGTTGCGCCCGAAACGTCGTGATTTGATTTAATTTTATTTTAGTTGTTTACATTCTATTTTATTTAATTTTTAAAAAATTTCACCTACGTGACTTTACCGAAAAAACCAAAGAGTATGAATCCTTGCAGTCACGAAAACTTCAAATCTTATCCTTATCTTAACGTTATTTATATATCGCCTTAACCAAGGTGCTTTACATAGAATTAACAACGGTACAACAACAACAACGCGTGTGTGAATGTGATGGTGGCGGACGAGGTGAATGAAATAGATGACAGGAAGCGATGGGGGCGAATCCGTGATGATGATGATGATGCGTGATGCGTGAATTCGGTGAAAGCGAAATTGATGCCAGTAAATAATGATGGTGAATGGATCTAATGAATTGGGTTAATGAGTGATAGCCGTGTCATGATAATGTGAAGAGGAAACAGTAACGGTGGTGGTGGTTATGAGGGGGCAGATTAAAGGGGGAGTCGTTGGGGTGATCTCGAGGTTACAATAAATTAACTTTGCGTGAGGAGCGGAAACTTAGTGAGCGATTGTTCAATGTGGAGGGGGAAGTTTGTTTCAGTGAAGGGGGGAAGCGAGAAGAGAGAGAAAGCGGATTGATAACAAGGTGAAGGAAGAACAGAGAGAGGCAGCAAAGATTGAGAACGTAGAGGGAGATAAGGCGACGTGTAGCAAGATGCAAGAGTGGCAAGAGACGGTGGGGGCAAGACCGCGAAGGGATTTGTAGACGAGGTTGGGGAAGTTGAACAGGCAACGTCAGTTTCGGTTGTTGAAGTGATTTAGCGAATCCGAACGCTTTGCCTGGCAGTTGGTGGATGGCAGAGCACCAAATCAAATGTTTTTTATTGCGTTTGGAGGAAGTGTTCCTTCAGCGCTGTGAAGAGATGAACGGAACTCGGCAGAGTCCATACTAATGATTGCCCCGTGCTAAGGCTCTAGCGGACTGTTGGAGCAATCAACCAAAGCGCCCCAGCGGATCAATTAAAGGTCTCAGTCGATCTCGGGGAGGCCCAGGGCCGGTTCCAACATTGGCCGCTGCTGTTGGTCTCCAGGAGGCCGCCTGTGAGTGTCGGTGTGCCACGAAGGAGACGTTTCGGGAAAGGTGCCCTTTCTTGCCAGCTGACCTTGCCACGAGTGGGGGGGCGGTGGTGCAGTGGTTAGCGCTACGCTGCACTACGAACCTGGCGACCCGAGTTCGATTCCCGCTCACGGCCAACACCAGTGACGATTATTTGAACCAGTCTTGGGCCTCCCCTAGGTTGACTCAACCTCAAATGAGTACCTGGTGCAGTGTGTAAACATCAGCCACTGGGGAGACAAAGGCGGCCGGGCGTGGTGGTGGCCACCCACTTTCCTCGTGCGCCACGGTGCCGGCCTTCATAGCTGCTTCTCGCTAACAGCACTTGCCCCAACGATCTGTTGAGGCTATACGGGGGGAGGATCTTTGTCTTTGTTTTGTACACGTGTCGAAGGGCCAGTTTTGGTGAGCACGGCGGGACAATCGCCTTCTCGCAGCCCGGTGCCCGTCCTTTGTGAGGCCGGACTCTCAGAGACGCCGACCTCCGCGTGTGTCACTGCCTCACCCAGCCGCTTTGACCGCCCCCCCCCCTTTTCTCTGTCTCTAGCCCGAAGGCAGCGCAAATTTTCGTAACAATCAATCCCATGCTGACACAGGGCGCGGCGGCTTAGATACCCATTACATGACGCGTGCTGTGTGTGGTGTGTGTGGTGTGTGCTGTGTGTGTGCTGTGTGTGTGGTGTGTGAGTGGTGTGTGTGGTGTGATCTGTGAGTGGTGTGTGTGTGATGTGTGCTGTATGTGTGTTGTGTGTGTAATGTGTGATGTGTGAGTGGTGTGTGCGGTGTGTGTGTGATGTGTGTGTGATGTGCGGTGTGTGTGTGATGTGTGTGTGATGTGTGAATGCTGTGTGTGGTGTGATCTGTGAGTGGTGTGTGTATGATGTGTGTGTGTTGTGTGTGTAATGTGTGATGTGTGAGTGGTGTGTGCGGTGTGTGCGGGGTGTGCGGTGTGTGGTGTGCGGTGTGGGGGTGGTGTGTGGGGTGTGGGTGATGTGTGAATGTGTGTGTGTGATGTGTGAATGGTGCGTGTGTGATGTGTGATGTGTGAGTGGTGTGTGTGGTGTGTGTGTGTGATATATGAGTGCTGTGTGTGAGTGGTGTGTGCTGTGTGAGTGGTGTGTGAGTAGTGTGTGAGTAGTGTGTGTGTGGTGTGTGTGTGTGATCTGTGAGTGGTGTGTGTGAGTGGTGTGTGCGGTGTGTGCGCGGTGTGTGTGTGTTGTGTGTGTAATGTGTGATGTGTGAGTGATGTGTGAATGGTGTGTGTGGTGTGTGAGTGGTGTGTGTGTGATGTGTTAGTGGTGTGTGCGGCGTGTGTGAGTGGTGCGTGTGGTTAGGACCAGCAGACACGTGTCCTAACGATACTAGACTACCAGACTCTATCCCTACCCCTAACCACACTCATCAACCAGACACGTGTCCTAACCCTATTGCAAACCAGATTGTAGCCTTGCCTATGATCCCCCTTGTGGCCGACTGGGCCCCTATGCATCGCATGCGCTGGATCTACCCCCAATGTTGCGCCCCTATGTGTATGTGTCTATGTGTCTGTGTCTATGTGTCTATGTCTATGTGTCTGTGTCTATGTGTATGTGTGTGTTTATGTGTGTGTGTGTGTCTATGTGTATGTGTCTATGTGTATGTGTGTGTGTCTATGTGTGTGTGTCTATAAGTGTGTGTCTATGTGTGTGTATGTGTCTATGTGTATGTGTATATGTGTATGTGTCTATGTGTCTATGTCTATGTGCATGTGTGTGTGTCTATGTGTATGTGTCTATGTGTCTGTCTATGTGTATGTGTCTATGTGTATGTGTGTGTCTTTTTGTGTGTGTGTCTATGTGTGTGTGTCTATGCGTATGTGTGTGTGTCTATGTTATGTGTGTGTGTCTATGCTATGTGTGTGTGTCTACGTGTGTGTGTCTATGCTATGTGTGTATGTGTCTATGTGTCTGTGTCTGTGTCTATGTGTATGTGTGTATGTGTCTATGTGTATGTGTCTATGTGTATGTGTCTATGTGTATGTGTGTATGTGTATGTGTGTATGTATGTGTATGTGTCTTTGTCTATGTGTCTGTGTCTATGTGTATGTGTCTATGTCTATGTGTCTGTGTCTATGTGTATGTGTCTATGTCTATGTGTCTGTGTCTATGTGTATGTGTATATGTGTATGTGTCTATGTGTATGTGTCTATGTGTCTATGTTTATGTGTCTGTGTCTATGTGTATATGTGTCTATGTCTATGTGTATGTGTCTGTGTGTGTGTCTATGTGTATGTGTCTATGTGTATGTGTCTATATCTATGTGTCTATGTGTATGTGTGTATGTGTCTATGTCTATGTGTATGTGTCTATGTGTGTGGCGGATCGCCTTCAGTACTTCCTCAACAGCGGTGCCATCTGTTGAGGAAGTACTGAAGGCGATCCGGAGTCTGAGACCAGGAAAGGCACCGGGCAGAGATGATCTCCCAAGCGAATTGCCCGAGGGAGGGTGGCGTTTGTGCACAGACTGCCCTATATGACATCATAACAACAGTCTGGACCGCTGGACGGGTTCCGCAGGATTGGAAGGATGCCCTGGTGGTCCCCCTCTTTAAGAAGGGGGACCGCACAGACTGTAAAAACTACAGGGGCATTTCACTCCTCAGTGTGCCGGAAAGGTCCTGGCAAGGATTATTCAACATCGCCTTGCTAGGCACGCTGAGGAGAGGCTTGCGGAACCCCAATGCGGTTTCAGGAAAGGGCGGTCCTGCACAAATGCCATATTTTCTGTCCGTCTGCTACAGCAGAGGTGTAGGGAATTCCAACAAGACCTACATCTCTGCTTTATTTACCTGGTCAAGGCCTATGATACCATCAAGAGGCCTGGGCTCTTGGTTGTTCTTCGTGCTTTCAGAGTCCCTGACCCTCTGCTCACGATCATTAAGGACCTTCATGATGGTGAGCGGGCCCGGGTAAAACTACGTGGCCGGGAGTCGGAGCCTTTCCCTGTACACCTTGGGGTGCGACAGGGATGTCCTCTGGCCCCCACATTATTTAACATCTATTTCGACTGTGTAGTTCGTGAAGCCTTCAATAGCTGTACCGGGGGAATTTCCATTTGGTACAGATATAATGGGAGGCTGATCGACGCCCGGGTGCGATCAAGGGATGGCTCCCTATTGGTCAACCACGTTATATATGCCGATGATTTGGTAATAGCTGTTCATTCAGAAGAGGAGATGGAGACGCTGCTGCTGAGACTGGAGCGTGCCACTAAGAGGTGGGGCCTTACCATCAGCCCCACCAAAACTAAGCACCTGCCTGGGTATTTTGTACCCTCGGACACTCCACCCCCACAATTCCCAATCGGTGATGGGGCAGTTGTGGAGAGAGTGGAGAGTTTCTCATACCTGGGCAGTGTGCTTATGACCGGCTCCAGTTTATCAGCAGAGGTCTCACTCCGAATCAGTCGAGCAGCAATATATTTTCATCGGTTGCGTAACGCTGTGTGGAAGCTACCTGGTCTGTCGCTCCGCACGAAGCTTCAGGTCTTCTCGGCCACGGTCATTCCCTCCCTTCTCTACGTTTGCGAAACGTGGACCCCCCTAATGGAGCATCTTCGCCGGTTGGAAACATTTAGGCTGGCCTGCCTACGATCCATTCTGGGCTTAACCAGGCTGGATTGTGTGAGGAGCTCACAAATCCTTGAAAGATCTGGGCAAGGTTCCATCGGTGAGCTCCTCCGGCAGGCAAGGCTGCGTTGGCTGGGTTATGTAGCCCGCATGCCCAGCCACCGCATGCCTAAACAGCTTTTGTTCGGCCGGATCGAGGGGGCTAAACGGGCGCGGCACGGGCTAGAGCAGAAATGGAGTGATGTGGTACAGGAGGACGTGGAGCTGAGTGGACTTGCCGATGACTGGTACCAGCGGTGTCAAGATCGGCCTCTGTGGAGGAGGCTTGTGAACGACGCTACTGGGCAGTTGGAGGCAGTCGCCCTCCAACAACAACGGAGGGCGGAGGAGCGACGCTCACAACAACGAGCGGAGTGCCGGGTGGCTAAAGCACAGCAAGTTGGTACAGTAGGGGGCACAGGTGGTGCATCAGCCAGTCATCTCGGTCATCTCGGTCAGTCGAACCGTGGCACCTGCTGGGTCTGCCCCGTGACCTCCTGCCAGCGGGCGTTCGACACTTCACGTGGCCTCAAGGTGCACTCGGCCTGGCACAAGCGTCGTGGTGACGTCACCGCCACTTAGTGGCGAATGGCGGTTGTTGTTGTCTATGTCTATGTGTCTGTGTATATGTGTCTATGTGTATGTCTGTGTCTATGTGTATGTGTCTATGTGTATGTGTGTATGTGTCTATGTGTATGTGTCTATGTGTATGTGTCTATGTCTATGTGTCTATGTGTGTGCTTGGCAGGTGTAGCTTGTAGAGTGCTGGGCTACGAACCTGGTGTCTCGGGTTCAATTCCTGCTTACAGCCAACACCAGTGATAGCGATTATCTGAACTGGTCCTGGGCCTCCCCTAGGTCGACTTAGCCTCAAATGAGAACCTGGTGTGATGTGTAAACATCGCCACTAGGGAGACAAAGGTGGCCGGGCATGGTGCTGGCCACCCACCCCTCGTGTGCCATGCCGGCCTTCATAGGCGTTGGTAGCTAACAGCACTTGCTCCTAACACTTCTGTGAAGGCTATAGGGGTAATTTTTTGTTTTGCAGGTGAGCACATCAGGATGGCGCATAAGGCCGACGCTTACCCTCCGCACCATCATCATGACCATCAGCAGCATCAGCATCAGCAGCAGCATTACCCGGTGGTGATGCAGCAGCCCATGCTGCAGACGGTTCAGGTGCAGAAGACCAACTGGTCCTCGGGGATGTGCGACTGCTGCAACGACATGGGAATCTGTGAGCAGCGCTCCCACACGCCGCACACGCGCGCGCGTGATCTCTGCAACAATACACACACCACGTGATGAACTGGACAATACACACACCACGTGATGAACAGGACAATACGCACACCACGTGATGAACATGACAATACGCACACCACGTGATTAACAGGACAATACGCACACCACGTGATGCAATGGCGTGAACACGGTGTCGATTGAAGCGCGCGCGGCAAAACACGTCACGACGACGGCACGGGCGCGCGCGCGCAACATCGATGCCTGACAGAACCGGCCATCGAATTCCCCCCCCCCAAAAAAAAAACCCCCACGACCATCAGAAGGAACCGAACTCGTCACAGCCACGACTCGAGTCGCCGCTGCGAGTGAGTCTTACCCCCCCACCCTCATCCACCCCCCCCCCCTGCGTCACCACCCTGCCCAGGTTGCTGCGGATTATTCTTCCCGGTGTGCCTGGCGTGCAAAGTCTCCTCGGATTTCGGCGAGTGCTGCTGCACCCCGGTGCTGGCCGGTGGAGACCTGGCGATTCGCACCGGCATACGCGAGCGCTATCGCATCCAGGTGAGCAACGCCTCGCTCGCTTCTACTCGACGCTGCTGTTGCTACTTCTGCTGCGTTAGCAATGTTCGCGGAATGAACTCATTAATAACGCAATCATTTAACGAATTTCACCGGTGTAAGGGAGCGCTAACGCATTGCAGGTGAGCAACGCCACGCTCGCTTCTACTCGACCCCGACGCTGCTGTTGTTGCCTCTGCTGCGTTAGCAGTTGGCGCTGTTTGGCTGAATTATCTCATTGATAACGCAATAATTTAACGCATTTCACCGGTGTAAGGGAGCGCTAACGCATCCAGGTGAGCAGCACCTCACTCGCTTGTGACGCTGACACTGCTGCTTCTGCTGCATGAGCAGCTAGTGCCGCGCAAACAGCATTAACCAAAACATTTAACTCAACGCATTGCGCCACGCTGACCTCGTCCAGGAGCATGAACCATCATCATCATCATCACCACGCCAACTCCTCGCAGCAGCAGCAGCAGCAGCGGCGGCGGCTTTTGTCTCAGCCGTCGAACGAAGACGCAGTCGCCACCATCGCGCACTTTCAGATGCGCTTCCCTGCGGCCCTCTGGCACGCTCTTGCGTACAATATTAGGAAGCCACTGGAGCTACGAACTTTACATCGTCATCATCGAGATTGACAAAACTAATTTCTTGAGAACTGCTTTTTGTGTGTTGTTCGTTGTTCTTCCTCCCCACCTCCGATTGGCACGATTTGGCGACGTACGGTGCAAAAGAAGTTTAATATACGTACATGAATACATACAATAAACAACGCTCTTTGTGGAATTAAATTAAATACATCATCGGCGACGTTTCGGACAATGGCCCTTCATAGTATCCGAGTGTGACAGAGAGATATATAAAGAGACGCTGAGAGACACACACACAGACAGAGAGAGACACACAGAGAGATAGAAAGACAGACACACAGAGACAAAGAGAGAGACGCATACAGAAAGACACAGAGACACACATAGAGAGACACACACACACAAACACACACAGAGACAAAGACAAAGCTTCCCCGCATAGCCTGGGCAGGCTGTTGGGCAAGTGCTGCCTACGAGCACCAATGAAGGCCGGAAGGGTACACGAGGAGGTGGGTGGCCAACAGCACGCCCGACCGCCTTTGTCTCCCCAATGGCAATGTTTATCTTCTACGGCCAAAGCGACCATGACATTATAGATAGCTGAATGTGTGCATGCAATGCGCTGTGTTGGTGTGGTGTGTTTATAACCACTCGCGCTTGTGTGTGTCGCACAGGGCTCGATCTGCGACGACTGCGTGTGCCTCTACTTCTGTTATCAGTGCACCATTTGTCAGATGGCACGCGAGATCAAGCATCGTCAGGTGCAGGTGGCCAACGTGCAGGTGGTCATGCAGCAGCCCATCGTGGGCTACATGGGCTGAACTAGATCGGTCGTCCGTCCGAGGACCAACTCTTAGGCTCTCCCCACCAACACCCCCGCCCCCCCCCCCCCGTGTTACACAGCAAAGAGATCCAACAAGGATATCTCACCTCCGATTAGCACGGTTGACGACGTACGGTGCAAAATAAGTTCAAAGCACACACACACGTGCTCTGATCGTTTAATCATCACACCACCTGGCATGTCACGTCTTGGAGTGACGCCCATAGGTCTGGGTGTGACTCTAATGCCCGGTCTCGGTAACCTTCCGTCTTCCACCTTGCGCTCGTTGTTGCCCACCCATCACACGCGGACCTCCTCTACCTGATTACGTCTGCAGTTGTTTTACTTGGATTTTCCTTGATCTCTTCTGAACTCACAAGTCGTTACACTATTCTTCGCACGATTACTTTCCGTGGAACTAATTTACATTTATGACATGCTTTTGATTGCTCTTATTTTCGAAGTTTGCAAAGATTATCGCAGGATTTGCTGCTGCTGTAGCCTGTAAAAAAATAACAAATTTTTATCACGTGATTAATTTAAAATATATATTCAGTTGTTTAACCTCAGTTACATAAGGTCAGTGCCGTTTATGCAGGAGTTGCTTATCTGCAGTCTCTCTGCCCTGCCTAAAGGCGGCTCGCCACACCTCGGCAATCAATCGCATTCAACTCCGCTGCAACCAGTTGCGAGCGTTTGCACACCCTCTTTGTTACACTCGAGTAAGTGCTTCGTCGCCGGTATTGTCGGGGCAAAGGTCCTCAGTGGGTTGTGCCGCGGTATATATATTTAGATATGAATTATAGGAATGGAAAGAACCGTCAATGTTAGTGAGCTGGGACAGACGAACTCTATCCTGCTGTGCCGTTCAGTGGCCGATCCAACCCCCCGACCCTCCCCTCTCCATTGGTTGCGCTGCAACAGGATACAGTAGTCACTCGGTTAACAGTGACATCATCGGTTAACGTTTCGCCTCCCATCAGAGCCCCCACGGTGTCGACTCAACGTTACAAACGTTGACGTAACGGTACCGTGTTTACGTTACGCACCTGGGGGCGCCAATTCCGGCCAATCCGAGTGCTTATAAGTGGAGGCTGAGTCACACCATCACTCAATCAGCGACGCACCATTCATGAGACGTTTAGACCTCGACTGGCTTTTAAGTTTACATTAAGGTCAACTTCCAATCGTCTTAGAATGGATGAATGATGTTAAACGTGTAATTGCTATATTCGATTAACCGTTATTTAAAACGGATACAAAACGTTAACCGAGGGACCACTGTTTAATGAATCCGCGACAGAATGAATGAACATTAAGTTAACACATTTTTGAGGCCCACATATGGAGTTATTGGGCGTGAATTTGCCCATGTAAGTGTAGTGTTGTAATTATTGACGAATAAACTTCTTTATGATGCACACTACTTTTATTGTCTTTCTTCGACACCGTCCCTAACACACAAGGGGTATGACGGTCCCCTTACCCGGTACCTGGGGCTGTATGGCCTCCGGACTCAGCGGGACCTAACACTGGTGACCCGTTAGCCTAACGTCCTCCGGCTGGGACCTAGGGGAGGCTGACTGACCCGACCATTTGGTCTGTGGCTTCACTGAGCCCCAGCCCTTAGAAGGGCTGTAGAGCTTGGATCCAGGGTCCTATCTTCAGGGACCTATTCTCCCCCCGACCACTGGCCTCACTGAGCTCTAGCCCTGAGAAGGACTGTGGAGCTTGGGGTCCAGGGTCATATCTTTAGCCCGGGCTTCAGTCTTCAGTGTGGAGATAAATGAGCCAGAGCTCTCAGCGCTCCGGCTTTTATACCGGTTCGTGGCTGGCTCCGCCCTAGCCACGCCCCCTTTCTGGAACCTTCTGGTTTATCCTGGGAGGTGACATCATCCCCTCAGGATCCGTTATTGGGATCTTCTGTTACCTCTGTTTGACCCCTGGCATTTCCCCCTTGAGGTAACGCTGCTGCACCCTGTTGACACCCAGTGGTACTGCAGGGCTATTGAATGGTGAGTGGCAATCACCTTTACATAAGGAATACTGGAACGGGAATCAACGGATTTTAATTGTGCTCACGATTCAAAACTCGATGTAAACGGGAATCGAACGATTTATTTAAACGCTGCAAATCTCGAACAACTGCTTGGATCCAAGTGTCTTTATGTTCGAGCAGTGATCACGGCGATCGGTTAAATTTATGCCTGTCACACGATTTCTGGAAAAAAGACGATTCGTTGATCGAAAAAGCACATATTTAGGGCGCTCATAATAGAGGAGATTTTTTTTGGGTTAGATCGCGTAAATATAGATGTGTCATATTCTTGGTTCTTTCGTGACTTTACCGAAAGAACCAAGAATATGAATCCCTGCAGTCACGAAAGCGTTAAATCAAAATGTATACATGTGTCGTTAAACCTGCCACCACCCGACACAGCTAATCAGTAAGGGTTTGTAACGTAAACAAAATCTGCCAATTAGTTAATAGTTCAGTAACTACACCGGTTGTGTGTTGGGAGAGTAAACCCCCAACATGGACGCTGATTGGCTTCCCTGATCATTAACATAAGTTTATCATTCATTCCCCGTTACAGCTGATGTGTAGTGGTGGCAACAGGCAGCCGTCTGTTCCCCACCTCCCCAAGTCCTCTCTTCCAAGCCGGCGATCTGTGTAGTGAGCTGCAATGCATTTGTTCCAATCCCAGTAGGGGCGAGCAGACACCTGTGACATTGGCAAATTTTAGCTCCAGGACAAATTGCCATCATACGTATAGAAAATACGCAAGTTAGTTTTTGGTTAGGTGTGTGTTGTGCCAGTATAGATTGGAGCTAGCTCGCAGCGTGTTTTCCACGGCATAAGAGAGGTCGAGAAGGAAATACTGCTGCAGAAGAAACAGCATTTAATTTAAAGCGGTGTTTTCCATGGGCAAGACCACTGGCGGCCCCTGGTGGCCTTTAGTGCGGCCCCTGACAAATTGTGGAAACAGCCCCCATCATCATTATTGCGCTGTTGTCACAACACCCCGCCACCCCAATGGTTATCAAATGTGTGGCGGCCCTCACACACACTCATCATGTTTTATTGGCAAAGTCCCCCTCTGAAATCGCCTTGGGATTGTATGGTTAAAGGCGTTGTCTAAGCTATCATTGGTATTATAAAGCAGTGTAACACGTAGGCTTACACGACTAATATTTTCCATGGCTATCGCCTGATGATGCTGGTTTTAATTGCCGGCAAAACGTCACAATACTCGAATTGTAAATGTTGAAGTGGGTTTACTCTCCAACACACAACCGGTGAGTAATGAACCAGTAACGCATTGGCACGTTTGGCTTACGTGACAAACCTTACTAATTTTCTGCGTCGGGTGGTGGCGGGTTTAACGAAACATTTATATTTAAGCGAACTAACCCAAAAAAACGATAATGGATAACGCAGTTTGTTTTTCATTGCAAGACCCCGCGGGCCACTGGCGGCCCGTGGGTGGCCATTAGTGCGGCCCTTGATGTGCGTTTTTTTTACAATACACATAAAGAGTGAAAAAATCTCCCATCATCATCGTCGTGCTGCTGTGACAAACACCCCAATGGTTGACATGTGTGTGGCGGCCATCACACACACTCATGGTGTCTTATCGGCCAAAGTGGTGCAGCCCCCACCCGCCTCCCTTTGAAAATGTAGCGAAGGACGCTGCTCTAAAGCATCGACACGCTCAGCGATGCGTTCGTGGCACAATTGTGAGCCGTGATTAGTTGCGACAAGTCCCTGACGTAGGTTGTTGTGGAGTACAAAGCAGAAAGGTCACGGTTGTGAAGGGACGTGACCAGGGCACTTTATTCACACCCACACACGGGCCTTGTGTTTTGTGTGTTAGTTTGTTGTCCTTTGCCCCCTGTACCTCCGATTACCATGGTTGTCTACGTACAGTGCGAAAGAAGTTCGACATTAACCATACCATACGCAATACTATACACTACATTATTAGACACTACTATACACGACACCACTATACTAGATTGAAAAATAATTTGTTTAGAACTAATTTTTGTGTTTAGTTTGTTGTCCTTCCCCACCATACCGCCGATTAGCACGGTTGGCCACGTACGGTGCGAAAAAAATTAAACATACCGACACGACACTATACACTAATATACACTACATTATACACTACAATACACTACACTATACACTAATATACACTACATTATACACTACAATACACTACACTATACACTACATTACTATCCACTACTGTGCACGATACTACAATAATGTACGCTACATTACTATACACTACATTACTATAGACTACTATTCACGACACTATACACTAATATACACTACATTATACACTAAAATACACTACACTGTACACGACATTCATATACACTACACCACTATACTACATTGAAAGCTAATTTGTTTAGAACTGCTTTTTGTGTTTAGTTTGCTGTCCTTCCCCCGCACCTCCGATGAGCACGGTTGACTACGTACGGTGCGAAAGGATTTCCACATCCATATTTTACAACTCGCACAGATGGGGACAAATCAGTTGCACGCGAATTAGTGTCACAACCCAAACTGCTGAAGTCGCTTTTGCTTCCGGAATTATTTTCTTTCTTAATTGAAAATAAACTGAAAGTAATAGTAATAGTAAATAGTAATCGGACGGAATGTGCTTGGTAAATCGACAATGAATAGAACACATATTAGGGGAATTGAGCGATCATACAGGATTGCCCATAGCTGCCTTTAATGAATCTGATTGCCAAACAGTAGTCTCTCGGTTAACAGTGACATCATCGGTTAACGGGTTTTCGGTGAACGTTTCACCTCCTGTAGGGGTCCCACAGTGTCGACTAACGTTAACATGTTGGCTAACGGTAGCGTGTTTACGTTATGCACGCGGGGGCGCCAATTTTGGCCAATCCGAGCGTTCGTTAAGTGGGGCTGAGCCATTCCCTCAGCCAATCAGCGACGCCTATTGATGAGCGGTTTAGACCTCGACTGGCTTTGTTTACATTATGGTCAACTTTCGATCGTCTTGGAACGGATGAATGCTTTGAACATGCAATTTATTTAACACGTTTTAATGTTTTGGCAGTGGAAACAGCTATTTTGTGCAGACTCACTGATTATCTTTTTTAAACGTGTATTTGAACTTATAAGGGAATTCAATGAACAACTTCGGAATTTATACTCTTTGGGTCTTTCGGTAAAGTCACGTAAATAGAACACAAAGCGGATCTGAAACACGGTAGGACTAATACCTCTGCCGTGGCTGATCATTGTTTTCACGCTGTGAGCACACGTGAAATTGATTTCTCCAAGACGAAGGTACTATGTAAACCCACTGATTATCAACAAAGATTTGTTCATGAAGCCATCCAGATACATAAACACAGACACAATTTCAACCGAGAACATGGGTATAAACTGAGCAATCATTGGAAGGACGTTATTAACCAGGTAAAGTCATAATCGGATGTGATGCTTCCATCCTACCTGCCGATGTGAGTAGTTATTTCCAACTCTCTGAGTTACATTACCTGGTTAAATGCCTTTACATTAACAGGCTAAATGTCTCACTAACATAGCGGCTGCTTCCCTCTTCCTCGATGTGGTGGTGGCTCTCGTTGTTTAATAGGCTGAATGTGTCTCATTAACACAGCCGCTGCTGCGGGAGCCATCTCACATTGACATGCTCATCTCGAATCTCTAGAAGAACAATGGCTTCTTCAGCACCCTATTCGTGGGGTTACATTAACAGATTGACATGCTAATCTCTAGCAATACAATGGCCGAGGTATATTACTGTAAATTCCCTCTCTAGCCCCGCCCACTTACCCTTGGGTTGTACCCATCTCAAACCTATATAACCTCTTGCTGCAGTAGTTTTCTCGCTATATTTATCCTGCCTCAGCAGTTCGCTTGCTGTATTTTTTCACCTGAAGACGATTGCTTGTGTTGCGATCGAAACGTCGTGATTTATTTTTTTATCTACGTGACTTTGCCGAAAGACCCAAAGAGTATAAACTTCCGTTAACAGTCTTTCTTTCGTGGAACGGATTTAAAAATAAAAAAAACCAAGAGGGGTGACTGTAAATGGGTTATGGTACTCGTGATAGACAGATAAACATGAAAAAAGGTTGAGGTCTTCCACAATGGATGCCTCAGAAATATCTGTGCCGTATATTTTGGCCAAACAAAATGTCCAAATGTGAATTCTACTTGAGGACTCGAAGCCCCGGGAGATAAGAACCGCATCCCTCAAAATTGCCCTGAGATGAATGCCTCCGGGCAAAAGAAAACCGGGGAAGGCCAAAACCCACCTGGCGAAGAACAGTCACCGAAGAGCTTGGTCTCGTGGGGAGAGGCACAGCATGCAGCCAAGGACAGGACAAGGTGGAGATATAT